TTGAGCTCAGGTCTGCGAGCCTGCTGGGCAAACATTCTACCACTGAGTGACAACCTCAGCTCTCTATTTAAAACAATGACAAAACAAAACAACAGCAATAAAAACCATTTTGAGGCAGAGTCTCCTTAGGTTGCCTAGACAGACCTCCAGGTGGGAGTCTGTACCACCCTGGCACTAGCACTTCAAGCAGTTTTCAAAGGCAAGGTCTCTCTGTCCCGAGTACCAGGGATTCTACTAGGTGTAGAGCACCACACCTAGCTCAATAAATTAAGATACCTATTATCACTTACACACACTGACTCTATAAATGAGTGCTGAGATTCAAAGATGAGTCTTACATACATGTAAAGTCTGTAAATTCTAGTTTTATACCCAAAGGAACAATCTGTCCCAACACTGAGCTGGATTTCTTCTTCTTTCTTTCTTTCTCTCTCTCTCTCTCTCTCTCTCTCTCTCTCTCTCTCTCTTTCTCCTTCTCTCCCTCCCTCTCTTTCTTTTTTTTTGGTGGGGAGAGGTTTGAGACAGAGTTTCTCTGTGTAGCTTTGGAACCTGTCCTAAAACTCACTCTGTAGACCAGGCTGGCCTCAGACTCACAGAGATCTACCTGCCTCTGCCTCCCAAGTGCTGGGATGAAAGGTGTGTGCCACCACTGCCCGGCAGAGCTGGATTTTCAACATTAAGCAGCTAGTCTCAACATGAAGTCACACTTTTCCTGCATATAGTGTAATGAATATCTATACAATTACAAATTTACTTGTTGATAACACCCCAATCTCTCTCTGCAGTGATGAATCCCAGGCCCTGGCCAGCAGTTGATGAAACCAAGATGCTGGCCAGCATTGATCAAGACAATGGGGGCCGCCAGGGGGCCCAGGTAAGAGTCCCTCTGGGGATGGAAAATGTGTCTTCTGATGCAATGGGTTTTTGGGTTTTAAATTTTTTTTCATATTGAAAAAATGTTTCACATCTACATTTCGAGATATTATTGTTATTTAGCAGTAAAACATCCATTTGAGTAAGTAGTTGGTGTGGCGTGCATTTTTAGATTCTTATTCCATGAAAAACAGTGTTTTTATCTCCCCTATCTAACTTCACTGAAGAAGGCACAGCACAATAGCAGACTTGATTCCCGCATTCCTGGTGACCTCAGGAGAGGAACCAGGGGACTGAACATCTTGGGGAGAGAGCTGGGTTACCAAGACAACCAGCTGCTGCTTGCATCACTATGACCAAAGCAACGAACACAATGGAACAGAAGGCGTGTTTACTGTGACTCTCAGTCCACCGTGACAGGGAGGGCATGGCGCTCATGCCTGTGGGAGCATGTGCTGAGATGCTGGACCCATGGGAACCTTCAGAGGCCCATCCCTAGGGGACCGTACTTCCAATAGTTAGACCTCACTTTTCCAAATGGTCCACAGTCTCCCCAGCGATGCCACCAGCCGGGGAATGAGTACCTAAGATGCGAGACTCTATGGGGAGCATTCCATATTCAAACTACAACAACTGGAAGCAATGTTTTGGCGAGAAAGAAAATGACTCATTTTTTCTTCTATAAAGTCACAATATAATCAATTCAGGAAGCCTTCCCTTTAGAGCATGGTTGTTGGGGTTGGAGGAACACTCAGTGGTTAAGAGAACTTGCTGTTCTTCCCGAAGCTGTTGGTTCAGCTCACAGCTACCTGTAACTCCCACTTCAGGGGATCTGATAACCATGGGCACTACACACACACACACGCACACACATGCACACACACGCACACACATGCACGCATGCATGCACACACGCACACACACGCATGCACACACACACGCACACACACGTGCACGCACACACATGCACGCACACATGCACACACACGCACGCATACACACGCACATGCACACACACATGCACACACATACACATGCACACATGCCCACACACATACACATACACACACGCTCACACACGCGCATATACACAAATCTTAAAGAAAACAGAAAATAGGGTTTTTGTGATCCCACAGGGTCTGTGTTTTGACGAGGAAGGGCTGTTCTTTGGAGTGCAGGCTGCTCACATAAGCTGGATTCAGTTGTTGCCTTAGTGAGACACTTGTCTCTGTGATGTGGGATTCCTCTCTGTATGCTATGAACACCATTGGTCAATAAAGAATCTGCTTTGGGCCTATAGTAGGGCAGAATATAGCAAGGAAAATTCAAACAGAGATAGAGAAAGAGAGTAGGCAGAGTCAAGGAGATGCCATGTAGCTGCCACAGGAGAAAGCTGCCAGTTGCCAGCCAGAACCTTACCTGTAGGCCACAACCTCATGGTGATACACAGATTAATAGAAATGGATTAATTTAAGATCTAAGAGTTACCTGGGAATATGCCTAAGCTATTGGCCAAACAGTGTTGGAATGAATATAGACTCTGTGTGATTATTTGGGTCTGTGCAGTAGGAAACGAGCAAGCAGCCTCCAACTACAGCTCTGCCTCTGGCCTCTGTCCGCCCTCAGCTCCATGGCAGGACACGAGGCTGCGATCTGACCCACCACAAGCTTCCAGTCCCCACCAGCCCTGCTGTTCTGTGTATCTCTGTCCCTTCCAGCTAAGTGATTCCGTGATAAGGAGCCTCCCCATCCAGGAAGAGGGTCAAAGTTTGGATATTAAAGCCTGAAGGCTCTCAGGAGTCAGTGCGGACCATGCATGCATATCCAGGCTGTGCTGGGACAATGATATTTCAGAGACAGGGCTTCTCTGTGTACCTTTGGGGCCTGTCCTGGAACTTGCTCTGTAGACCAGGCTGGCCTTGAACTCATAGAGATCCACCTGCCTCTGCCTCCTGAGTGCTGGAATTAAAGGTGTGCACCACCCCGGCACTTGCCGGATTTTAATTTATACACTTATCATGGTGATGATGGAGAAGTCCAATCCTGGGGAAGGAAACCTGAGTTTGACTTTTGACCTTGCTTCCTAGTGGGTAGTTTGGGTGGGGCATTAACCTCTTTCAACTTCTTCCTCTAGAGAGGCACACCGTCTATGTCTATTTCAGAGGTCCTCATAAGCGGGCCCACAGGGATAGGTCCAAGTACTGACTGCTCGGAGGATAAACGTGAAGACTTGAAGACTGAGTGCTGTTGAGAACATTTTCTTCCACCACAGAGAGTTGTGTTAACTTTAATTTTTCTGTCTGAGAGAGAGGCATGCTGCACAGCCTACATTGACCTCAAAATTGCAATCCTTCCGTCCCAGGTACTCAACGTGTTGTGTTTTGAGCTTCTCTACTGGGAAGCTACTTCTGCCCAAGTGGGAGCTCACATTCTTAGACACATTCCTTCCACGGTGTCCAGCCTGCAGGCAGAGCTGAGCCACACTCTCCTGGGAAGACTGCCTCACACACAGGTGCAAGGAGCACCTCATTTTTGGTTTGCTACACAGACCGTCCCTGAGGGGGTGGGGGGAGGACAGTCCGTCAGATGGCTGAACTTGACTGAGAGTTTAATTTACAGTCAACGGTTTAATTTACTTACCAATGGCATTCACCGGGGAGGACAGAGGGTCTTTCACTGTAGATTCCAGATCTTCCCAGCAGTTTTGAAACAAATTAAGCCTTACTCACAGCGCAGGAAAGGTGCTTTTCTCGAATGGGAGTAGAAACGGGCAGCTGTTGAAGGCAATCATCGTCTTTATCGTCTTTGTAGAAATGCCAATACGATGGGGTTCAGGTAGGTGTGGGGGGAGTGACTGGGTTTAGGTGAGGTCAGGATGAATGTCCTCATAAAAGGATCTGGGGGTTGCTGTCCCTCCTCCATGTGAGCACTTACTGGGGGAGGTGACTGTCTCCATTCCTAGGACCTGCTGTGCTGACTCCCAGTATCTCTCTTCCTCCTTTTGGGTCACGAAAAAATAGATTCTTGCTATTTAAACAACCCAACCCGTGATACTCTATGATAGCAACCCGAGCTAGCCCGAACTAAGACGATATTTCAGTATATGCATTGCATGATTTCTTCTTTATCTTGGGTAGCTTCAGAGACCAGAGAGAGGATCCATGGGAAGACATTAGAAAAGTAAAGTGATGTTGATCTGACCCACAAATATGGGTCAATGCGACCAATATGGCCAGGAAGGGTAACAGTGCTTCCGCTAACTGAAAATGCATTAAAAACTGAGAACAGACCAGAAGCAACTAGAAAAGTGAGCCTGTAATGTGAAAGAGAGGTGGCCTACATCCCTCTCTCGACAGCTGTCAATCACCTTTAACTCCAGGAATGGGGCCTCCTGAGATGGCGTGTCAACTGGTGTCATTGTTTGGGTCCTGCATAGGTAATCATATTGAGATGTCATGGGTGTAGCCTCCCTGTTGTATACAGAAGACAGGCTTGCAGCAGACGACCTAGGCCTCTGGCTCTTTCAAGCTTCCCATGCCCTCTCCTGCCATGTTCCCTGAATCTCCAGTGTCGGGCTTGTGTTGTAGACCAGCTGGTGCTGGCCAGTCGTGAGTTTCTGGAATAGTCTTTATCTGATGCAAAAAGAAGCTTCATTTTTGGATAAGATATATTTTTAAATGCTATATAATTAATGGATCAGTTTTTTAGATTTTTAAAGGTAATTTACATGTGTGAGTGTTTTACACTGCATGTATGTCTCTGCCCCAGGTGTATGCCTGCTGCTCACAAAGGCCAGAGATGTGTTGGGTCCCCTGGAACTAAAGTGGAATGCGGTTGTTAGCTGCCATGTGGGTGCTGGGAATCAAATCCCATGTCCACTGGAAGAGCAGTTAGAGAGCTTTTTTAAAAAATTTAATTTGTTTATTTTACATCCTGACCACAATTTCCCCTTGCTTCTCTTCTCCTATTCCCTCCCCTGAGCTCCCCTCTGCCCCAATCCTACCCATCCACTCCTTCTTTGTTTATTTTTAGAAACGAAAGGCCTCCCATGGTTATCTACAGAGTATGACCTATCAAGTTGCAGTAAGACTAAGCTCCTTCCCTTTGTATTAAGGCTGAGTAAGGCAACCCAGGATGAGGAATAGGTTCCTAAAAGCCAGCCAAAGTGTCCGGGGCAGCCTCTGCTTCCGTTGTTGGGAGTCCCACAAGTAGATGATGCTACACAATTGTCACACATATGTAGAGGGTCTAGGTCAGCTCCTTGCAGGCTCCCTGGCTGTCAGCTCAGACTCTGTGAGCTCCTATATGCCCAGGTTAGTTGATTCTGTGGATTTTCTTATAGTGACCTTGACCCCTCCGGTTCCTCCAGTCTTTCCTCTCTTCAGCAGGATTACCTGAGTTTGGCCTGTGTTTGGCTATGGGTCTCTGCATCTGTTTCCACCAATCACTGGATAAACAATTTCTGATGACAGTTGGGTAGGCACCAATCTAAGAGTATAGCAGGATGTTATTAGACATTGTTCCTTGGGCTTTCTTTTTCTCTGATCATGTGTGGTGCTACCCTAGGTCTCTGGGTCGTCCAGCCCCTAGGTCCTGGCCCTCCAGGCAGTGTCAGGGGTGAGCTCCCTCTCATAGTATGGGTCTCAGACTGGACCAGTCACTGGTTGGCCACTCTCTCAATCTCTGTGCCGCTCTTACCCCCAACACATCCCACAAGCAGGACAGATATGTAGGCAGAAGGTTATGTGGTTGGTTGGTTTCCCATTCCCTCCCTTGGAAATCTTGCCTGATCACAGGAGACAGCCAGTTCAGGCTACGCATCCCCTATTGCTAGGCGTCTCAGCTGGGTCATCTTGTAGATTTCTGGGAGTTTTTCTTGCACCAGGTTTCTACCTGGTCCCCAAATTCCCTCCCTTTCCAGTCATCTCTTTTAGTACTCTCCCCGCCACCCTCCCGGGGAGAGCTAAGCATCTCCCCCTGAGCCTTCCTTGTTACATAGCC